GAATTAGGTAAGCTGCCTTGAGTTCCTTGGAAAAAAAAGGGTGGAATAATATTATAAATACATGTTAAAGAAAAATCCTAAACACAAAACAAAATAAATACAGAATGAAATAGTCAGGCATCATTCAAGAAAAGCATATGATATGACCTCTCCCTGGAATTACTGGCAATATACCTACGTTTGCAAGATGGAAATCCATAATAGCCTGTTTGGCACCTGCTACATCGGCGGCCAATGATGTTTGGCTTGCAGCTGCACTGCCCTCCCACTGGATCGCAGGTAAGACTGGTGGCACCATTTCTGTGGCAGTTGCAAGGCAGAGCCCCATTGTTGTAGGCTGCCACAAGTGATCTTGCTGAATTTCTACAGAATTCTGAGGAACTTACAGGGCTGTGAAAATGAAACAAGTCACGAAACTGAATTCTGGTAGTTTTATTTTAAATACCCACTTATTGTCTTAGCTGGATCTGAAATATTGTTCATTTACTCTCATTTTTATTTCTATAATGTACTGCCTGTTCAGCTGTGGAAATACAGTTAAAAGAATTCCATGTTTTTATTATTATTATTATTATTATTATTATTATTATTATTATTATTATAACATTTCTATGCCGCCCCTTGCCGAAGCCTCGGGGTGGCTTACAACACAATAAAATACATTGAAATACAAAAGAACATAATAAATTACCATTAAATACAAAAATACAAAAAATACACTGAGATACAAACATAATAATATAAAATTAAAATTAACAGTATAAAATAAGTAAATAAAGAATATAGGAGGAGAAAAGAGAAGGAAGAAGAAGTTGCCCTGGCCAGATCATATATTTTAACAATTAAAATGATGTTTAAATAAAAAGGTCTTTACCTGGCGCTGAAAAACCAGTAATGACGGTGCCAGGCGGACCTCTTTGGGGAGTGAATTCCATAGGTTGGGCGCCACCGCCCAAGGACATTATATCTGTAACACCCTCTCTCCAACGCATGTGCAGTATGGATGCACATGTAGGGGCAGTAGTCTCCCTCCAGTTGTTTACCCTAACACATCCCAACTGTGAACTTCACTTAGCCAACTTTACCATCCCAAGCCACCCAAAGGTCCTCTGTTTCCCTAAAATGCCTTTGCTGTTGCTATCCCTTTTGCTTGGAACGTCTTCCCAGAATGCTTCTGTGAAACCAGCTTCTTTCAAATCCCTCCTCAAAATTAACCTTTTCTGGAGCAACCCCATGTCCCAGTTGTAGACAGGGGCCCACCTTGCACAAGGAACAGTCTGAGTTGACACAAGCAGGACTGCACTGTGACTTACTTAATGTGAAAACTGTTCCCACCACACTGGTTGATGAAATCGTATGACTTATCCACAGTGTCTTTCTGAAGAAGTGTGTAAGTGTAGCTGTCTGCTGGAACAACCAGGATACGTTCCTTTAAAATGATGAGAAAATGGCATTATTTATTTATTTATTTATTTATTTAGAAAATTTCTATGCCGTCCCATTCGCTGAAGCCTCAGGGCAGCTCACAAACATAAATAACTTCAATTAAAATAATATAAATTAACAGTATAAAGTAAGTTGCCCTGGCCAAAGAATAAAAAAAATAAATACTATTAGCAGTAAAAATGACATTTGAATAAAAAGGTTTTGGCCTGGCGCTGAAAAACAAATAATGATGGCGCCAGGCGGACCTCTCTGGGAGCGCATTCCATAGATTGGGCGCCACCGCAGAGAAAGCCCTCCTCCGAGTACTCATCCTCCTAATTTCCTTCATGGAGGGTTCCTGGAGAAGGGCCTCTCCCACAGATCTCAGGGGGCGGGTGGGCATATATGGACGTAAGCGCTCCTTCAGGTAACCAGGACCCAAGCCGTTTAGGGCTTTATAGGTCATCACCAACCCCTTGAATTGGGCCCGGACTTCAATGGGGAGCCAGTGAAGCTGACGGAGAACTGGAGTCATGTGAACATAATGCCCAATCCCCATCAGCAGCCTGACAGCTCTATTTTGAACCAATTGAAGTATCCGGACCATCTTCAAGGGCAGCCCCATGTAGAGTGCGTTACAGGAAGTCAAGTCGGGAAGTCACCAATGCGTGTGTCACTGTCGCCAGGCAGTCATTCTCCAGGTAGGGGTGCAGCTGATGGATCAGCCGCAGCTGAAAGAAAGTGCACATCGCCACCGCTGTCACCTGAGCTTCCAGTGAAAGCTCTGGGTCGAGGAGCACTCCCAAGCTGCGGACCTTGTCCCTAAGAGGGAGTGCAACTCCATTCAGGACTAGGTTCATTTCACCCTCACCGAAGCCCGATCCGCCAACCAACAGGACCTCCGTCTTGTCTGGATTGAGCTTCAGTTTATTGGCCCTCATCCAGCCCATTACCTCGGCCAGGCACCGGTTCAGCACAGCCACTGCCTCACCTGGATTGGTGGAAAACGAGAGGTAGAGCTGGGTATCATCAGCATACTGATGGTTCCACAGCCCACACCTCCTGATGACCTCTCCCAGCGGTATCATGTATATGTTAAACAGCAAAGGGGACAAAATGGATCCCTGCGGTACTCTATGGCATAGCTGCCATGGTGCAGAGCCATAGTCCCCCAGCACCACCTTCTGGAATCGGCCATTGAGATAGGAGCAGAACCACTGC